TATCCGCTGTGGATAGATTGTCCTTGAGGGAACTTACACTGAAACTCCTTGTGCTTATTCTCTTAGTTTCGGGCCAATGAGGTCAGACCGTTCATTTGCTAAGCATTGACCACATGGTCTCTGTGAATAATTGCTATACTTTTTAGATTGTTGACCACTTAAAACAAAGCAGACCAGGCGTCAAAAACCCTCTTGTAGAACTCAGACCTTTCAAGGATAAGACTCTCTGTGTTGTAACAACATTAAAGGAGTACCTAACAAGGACAAAATCCTTACGGGGCTCAGAAAGCCAATTGTTTATTAGTTATAACAGACCTTTTAAAAGAGTAATTAGAGACACCATTAGTCGTTGGGTTAAGTTGGTTCTGACTGATTCTGGAATCGATACATCCAGGTTTAAACCACACAGTACTAGGGCTGCCAATACGTCTGCAGCCGGTAATGACGTCTGCAGCCTTGACGATATTTTTCATACAGCTGGATGGTCCTCAGAGTCTACATTCGCAAAATTTTATAACAAGCCTATTGTTAAAGAGAACACATTTGCTGACAAGGTGCTCAGCAATGTAAGCAGCACAAATTTGTAATAGATGTTTTGTTGATTATGCCTAATGTTCGTGTTGCTTCAAAATCTCATGTGATCTCACACCACGATAACGAGGTAGAATAGTAAAATTAAACGAGACTTACCTGTAAGTTGAAGTTTGATTGAAATTTTACCGAGTTTTAAAGTGCTGGGAGATTACACGTGATCGCAGCGCATGCGCCAACTCAGTCTTCAAAGACTTAATGTGAGTGACTCACAGGTACCAACAAAGGGTGGGTTGGGAGGGCATGTAATCTCTCAGTACTTTATAACTCGGTAGAATCTCAATCAAACTTCAACTTACAGGTAAGTCTCGTTTAATTTTACTATTTCACCTTCTTTAGCCCCAAATAAAGACACCAATAAAGCACGATGATCGAAGGCACCATTTAGTATGATATCATACACGATAATGGCACCATTTAAGTGCGATGAAAGCACCGATAATTGCGCCATTTAAGAGGGAAGAAAGAGAGAAAGAGGTACTAATTACCTTGAGAACAAAACGTACTTGTAAGTGATTGTAACTCCGTAGTGGACCTACCGTCCATGAAGGATAAAAGAAGGCTCGCAAAGAAAACACTAATAAAATTCTTAGTGGCGGTTTGAATGTGAAAGTTGATTTATCCCCCGGGGATTTATCAAACTAAGAACAAAACAATTTTCGTTTACATTGACTCCTTGGATGAATTTGCAGCGGCTGTTGAACAGCTTTGCATCGCTGAACCACATAAAATATTGTTATAAAATATAAAAAACTTGTGATGAAAGGAACTGACGACCAAGCATGAGTCACAGCGGCGATATTTTATAACAAAGCAAAACTTTAACATTATTATGTTCAGTGACGCAAAGCTGTTCGAAAGCCGCTGCAAATTCATCCCAAGACAGGAGCGGCAGGGGTATTTTGCAGAACGCTGAATTCAGAATGCAGAGTGCCAAATGACTCTGAAGCCCGGGGGGCCCACATATGAAAGGGGTGGGGATGCTCGTCGAAAATTTTAAATTAAACCCCTTAAGGAGACTGATCTGGGCAAGGCCCAAGCATTTTTTGACCCCTAAAAGAGACCATGTTAAAACACAGACAATATATATATTTTTATGTTTTTTCGCTTGCAACCCTAAACGAGGCCTTCACGGCTTATTATGATGGCGTTTTGCCCAGAACACCCTAAGTGAGACCAAAATCAGAAATTTACACCCCTAAGCGAGAGGACGAGCATCCCCACCCCTTTTATAATGATAAAAAGTATTACTTCATGATACTCAAGGATAATATAGTCATAAAACTTCAGGAATTAATAACAGAAGTATAATCATCAATCATAGGATTCTTGATTATTTTACGGGAACTGGAAAAAAGCTTGACGGTTGGTACCAATGTAACGGATAGAAAGAACGGCGTATTGAGTGGTTAATGAATCGATTTAACAAACAGATATCATTCTGTGATTGACGTGCATAATATGAATGAATGGAAGATACTGGATTAAAGTAATCAACAAAACAAGAAGGGTTAAAATATGGTACCACTGATAAACAAAACAGAGAATTTTAGGAGTCTTAGAGACTAAAGCAACGGTATAGAATGTGATCTAGGGTGGGATAAAGTCATTATTCTGACGGCTTGCTTTTGCAAAGTACTTTACTGGTTCAGGGGAACCCAACGAGAAGATAATTCAAAACCACTTAAACACTAGCATTGTTAAACGTATTGTTAATCGTCTTCCTTATTTTCCTAAAATTGTCGTTGGGTGCCCCTGCTGGTTTTAGGTAGACTGGGTATGTGAGACGCCAAACTTGAATACCATAATTTAAAGGGGTAAATTGGGGAATGGTAAAGCAAAATAAGTATATATCAACATTAGTATATTACCTTAATTTGGAAAATATACTTACAGTTTTCGATAGTGT